AGACAGAATCTGCAATGAAAATTAATTGCTCTGCTTATCCTCCAGGACAGGTATCTAGTGTATTCTCTAGGGATAGACTGAAGGCAATTCAATTGGAAGAGCAGCTAGATGGAGATTTGTCCTGTTGTTTTGTTCTGGGGACTGATTGGTTTGTTCTTTTTCCAAACAACCACACAATGCAAGTGCAATCGTGATCCAACCCATCCCTGATATGTTCATACTTGCACTTTAGGGTTACCAGTCAGAGGCTCTATTTTGGTTCAGTTCCAGAACATGCAATCACTGGGATCAAACCAAAGTGGATTGCTTAAACATTCAATTTCCCAATATTGGTAAGTGGTTTAAGCAGACAGCTTAAGCCGCTTAATAATATTGGGATGTTTAAAGCTCCCTCCATGCCTCTGTGAATAGAGAGGGTGCAAAGTTTTTTCAAAGCTTTATAAAGCAGCACTGATATGCTATGCCTTTAAGGAAAAAAAATAAAATTTAAGGCTTCATCCTTAGAGGAAGGGACAGTAAGGGACAAGGAGATAGTTTTCTTTCCTTTTGTTTTCCTTTAAAAGGATGTGGCTAAATAGGGTTGCTTGAGGTGTGGTGTGTGACCCAAGCCCACTGAATCCTTGCATGTGGATGCAAGGATCACATCAAATGGCATACCACACCTCTACACAACCTTCAGCAACTTTTTTAGCACATTCTGACCCACTCCAATTTGGCCACCTTGCCAAACCTTTAATCATCCTATTGTTCCTATGTGTTGAGCAACTGTATTTTGGCTTGGATTCCTAGAGAAATTAAATAGCAATATCTAATTTTTCATACTGGCTTGCCCACAAGAGATACCTCATGTGCTACCTCATCTTCTTGCAGCTTCACTCTTTTCAGTCTGCTTGTAAAAAGTTTTCTTCTGCCCCATCATCTGTGACCTGGTGGGAAGAAAAGAAGTGATAGTTCTTTCTTTCTCCAAAATTTAAGTCTCATTTAATTCCAACTGTTTGAGAAGAAACGTATGTTGTTAGCAATCTCAAAATGTCCACCTATTTGGTCCATATACCACTTATTTTATACATTCACTACTTCTTACATTGCTTTCTAGCTTTTTAACTTTTGCATTCCCAGCTCTGATTCTTTTGTGGATTCCTCTGTGTCTTTTGAAGAAAAACTGGAGCATTACATTTCTTGAGAGTAAAATCAGATGGATTTTAATTAGGACAAAAAGCGGGTGGAACCCAAATGGTAGGGGGGGAAATAGAGGGTCACTCGAACAGACCTCCTACCTTGCATTTCTAAGGGAAAAGAGAGGAAATAAAAGAAGGCTCTTGTGGGTGTAAATCTTGGAATCAGGAATTCTGGAATCTGTCACAAATGTCTGCTTTCAACCATGGTCAATTCACTTAATCATTCTACATCTCTAAATCTACACACATATGTTGTAATTAATCCAAATAAGGTTTTTATTTATTCGACTTTTTAATCTTGCCTTTCTCCTCTAGATGGGACCCTAGGTGGCATACAAAAAAAATATCAAAATTAACAATTATACCAAACTCATTTAGATTAAATACTACAATGTATATATATTTAAAACTAAAACCTTTGCATTTAAAAGACCTCCACATCTCAGTTGTCCCCGGAATCCCTAAACAGGTATTGCTTTGGAGTTCCTAACTCATTAAATTAACATTCTTAAATTGTTAATTAAAACATTAGTCTTCCATGTCCTCTGCAGAGGGCATGTGTCAGCCTCCACTCCTCCTCCCCAAAAGGGAAGGCATATAGTTTCTTTTAAGGACAGAATTATATTGTTTAACTCCAGACTTGGCCCTATAACAGCATTTGGGCCAGAATACTCCGAAGCCCAAGTTAACACTGCCAGGAGTTGATGGCGTTTCTCAGGGTTTCTGGGAGATAGAATCCAAGACTATCAATGTTGAGAACCCTTGCTGTACACCAAGGATGGGCAACTGGCTGTCTGTAGGCCCCATGTGCCTCTGGAGATGTCCTAATATGGCACCCAGCACCCCTTCTCTCCCCCCCCTTTTTAAATTTCAGGAGAAAAGATTTTGCTCTGAGAGAGCCCTCTAGGGGCCATTGTAGCATTCTTGTGGATGCAAGGATCACATCACATCGTTCAGCAAAATTTTGAATTTTTAAATTTTGGGATGGGAAGTTGATGGTGCAAGGAACTTTTTAAGCTGGATGGGGGTCATAGTCCAGCAGGGTCAGCAGACAGGTGGGGGCTGCCCCCAGATATTGGGAAACTGCTCCTGCTCTATATACATGCAACCATTACTTTACCACTTCCAGTTTCACTCCTCTAGTAGAACACTATAAGAAGTTTTAACTGAAAACATGGTTTTACTTAACACTTTTGTTTTTCGCTCAGTCTCTTCCTCTTCTGTATGCCATTTCTGGTCACCGCAACCAATTTCTATTACACTCCAAATCAGGATTGCCCTTAAACCGGCACAAAAATACTGTACTGCCCTTAGTTTCCTATGGATGATGTTTGGGGTGAAAATGTTATTTGGCACAAACCCAGCAACCTGCAATGATGTTATCTGGAGCAAACCCTGCACCCATGTGGAAGAGGAAGCTGAATCAATTGCAGGGTTATAGAAAACATTGAACTGTATGGTTGAGAAAGACCTCAAGAGTCATCAGGTCCAATCTATTGCCAAACCAGAAAATCCACAGCCTGATAGGGTGGCCATCTAACCTCTGCTGAAAATCCTCCAAATGAAGGAGAGCCCTAAACAGGCACATAAAAATCTTTTTTTAAAAAATGCATTCAAATTGCCCAGTTAATCTAAATGTTCCATAGCACTTTCTCTAGTTTATTTGCTGTCACCTTTGAGCAAACACTTTCCGTCAAATTGTGCCAAATCTGAGCATTCAAGAAGGATTTCATAAAGAAAGTCTGGGTTTTAAAACAATAGACATAAATCACACTGTGCAGACTAGCACACTAAAATCCAAACCCTGACATCTTTCTCAAGTTCTGGACTGGCACGCTCTCGTTTGGCTGCCTTTTTGCTTGGAAGGAGTGAGCATCCAGACTGCTGAGGTATCACTTGGACTGTTGCAATGGCTCATTTGCAAGAACCATAGCAGATTCTGGAGGATCAGGGAAGCAGAAAAGAGTGGTTTCTTATCACTGTGCTCTTCTCTGTTCATTAGTGGTTTCATTCAGATATTTGTTAACATGCCCCTGGCTTGAATGCTCTCCTCTTTCCTCTTTAGTTATCCACCTTTAAGCTAACCAAAGTTCCCTGTGATGCCTGAATTCTGGGAACCTCAGGCTATTTAACCTATAGCCTGTAAGACGTGGTCAACATCTGATCCTGGCTTTCATCCTTGATCACTGCTTAAAGCTTCACGGCTGTGATTTTAAAATTAAAAGCCAAAGCTTCTGGTCATCTCTTCGATTGCATGAAAGGAGACCGGGGATCACGTGGTCTCCATGCTTAGGGAGCTGGAAACTGCCATTGTCCATTATGTACTGTGCTGAAGATACAAATCCAGATGCTAAAGTAGATACACTGTCTTACTGAATTCCTGCTGAGTGTAGCGATTCATCCAGTCAACAGCTGGCAAGACTGTCAGTCTAAGCTGGCTCCCCAAAGCTCTGGGTAAGTGAACTTCACAATGTTCTTTGGTCTTTAGGATTTTGGTCCCTAGGTCCCTAAGTCCTAAAGCCCTGAGGTGCTCATCTCCAGAACCCCCCCCCCTTTACCATCTTGTTTCCTCAGCAATGCTCAGCACTGATTATCCCCTTTGTTCTTTTCCCATGTTGTCATGACAGATGCAATCAGATACACTACACCCGAAACAGCATCCTTACTTACCCCACTTTTGCTTTCACACAAAGCAAAAAAAGCAATACTGTTCTGCACCCATAAGCTTGAAAACTGCACAAGAAGAAAGGAGTAATACTCTGTGAGTCACCATGTACAGTAATGACATTGGATGTATGTATAAATAAATAATTGGTGTTGTGCTGAAGATACAAATCTTGTTCCCCAGCCATAGACATGCATATTTCATCATCCATTGTCTTCTTGTCTCCAGAGAGCAGGGTTTATTGCTGAGGATCATAAAGAGGATTTTAAGCCCTTTTAAGATCTGGGGACATGCTGAATTTCATAACCCGGTCTAATCTGTCTTCTCCAGTAAGTTACAATTTCTAAAGTTATGAATACAATGACATCACATCCAGCTGCTTACTATATGTTCTGGAAATGGAAGTAACTGTCAAGGAAGGACTTACCCAAGCTGATTTCAGGTGATTGATTTAAGTGCAAGGTCCCTTGGCCTCTTGTTTGACACTTCTGCACTTTTGTTTTGACCCATGCTACCATTAGATATTATCTGGAGCAACATTGGCTTTGGGATCCTATTCCCATATGCTATCCCAGGATAATCATTTCGTATGCAGTTTTAGTCACTAAGCAAGCTTTGAAACAGCAAGTTCACTGCTCTGTTATTATTTCCACCCACCCTTCTTGAACGTTTATGCAAGAAGCTTATACAGTGTTATAAAAAGCTTGGTTCTCCTGTATGATGTCTCTGTTTTCTCATTCTCCTAATGGCTCCTTATGGAAACTTATGTTTCAGCAATATTTCTGTTATTAGTTATGATGCTGGCAAATGGCGGTCTCAGCAGTGGGCAAAATTTAAATGGAGTTTAAAGAGTGCTCATATAATTCAGCATTCTGTTTTCTTACTACAGTTTGGTTTGTCTGCACAGAGTATGAAGCAGTTCACATTTCGTTTTTTACTTATTGGCTTGATATTGATTAACAGAAATGTTGTTTTGCCTCAATCATGACTGAGGACGTCCACTAACCTAGTGCCATTTTCCAGAATGCTTCAAGGAAGCTAATATAAATTAGTGTGTTGATGAGTTCTACTGTAGGGTTTTTAAGTCAGTTACACTTGGGCATGTTGCAATAGTGTCTGCTTTTATTTCTTCAATATTACCTCATTCAGCAAGAGTAACCCTATATTTCTGCTTCAAGTGTGTTCTGTTCTGTAGTACTGTGGAAAGAGGACAAATTGGCCTTTGAAAACACATATCTGTTTCTTCAGGCGTAACTTTAGTTATTAGGAGGATTATTGGAACTTTAGCACACCTGTAGTAAAAGGCATCTTTTCAATAGGGTTTGTATCCCATGAAGAGATAACTGATTCAGTATGTTGGTTAATAGATTTAGTGTTCAAAATGGTTAGTGAAAGACCAAGTCTCAGGTCAAGGGGAAAACAGTTTCTACTAGGCAGTTTTAGGTGATTTACTCTATATCAGATAAACTACAGTGGGGTCTCTACTTAAGAACGTCCCTACTTAAGAACAATCCAACTTAAGAACAGCTCCATTCGCTAAATTTTGCTTCTACTTGAGAACAGAAATCCAAGATAAGAACAGGAAAAAAAGCCTTTCCTGCTCTTTTTTTAACCTTAGGTCATCTTAGGTTAAAAAAAAATTCTCCCCCTAATGGTAGAGTACGTATTAACCAGCTTTGCATTAGTTCCTATGGGAACTAATGCTTCAATGTACGAATGCACCTCTACATAACAAAAAAACAGCCAGAACGGATTAATTGGTTTTCAGTCCATTCCTTTGGGAAATTTTGCTTCAACTTAAGAACGTTTCAACTTAAGAACACCATTCCAAAATGGATTAAGTTCTTAAGTAGAGGTTCCACTGTAGTTTCTATGGACGGAAAAGAGCAGATACGGATTAAATGGTTTTCAATGCATTCCTATGGGAAATGCAGATTCAACATAAGAACTTTTCAACTTGAGAACCACCTTCCAATACAGATTAAGTTCTTAAGTAGAGACCCCACTGTACCACCAAGTATAATTGTTGTTAGTATGTGCTGTCAAGTCACCCCTGACCTGTGGCTCCAGGAATGAGCGACCTCCAAAATGTCCTGTCCTCAACAGCCCTGCTCAGCTCTTGCAAACTCACGCCTGTAGCTTTCATTAGTTAAATCTGTCTCGTACTTGGTCTTCTCCTTTTCCTGTTGCCTTCAACCTCTCCTAGCGTTATTGTCTTTTCCAGAGAATCCTGCCTTCTCATGATGGGCCCAAGCTCTCACGACAGCCTCAGTTTCAACATTTTTGCCACCATAGATACTTCAGATCTGATTTGATCTAGGACTCACTTGTTTGTCTTTAGTAAGAAGGGAATAACTGCTGCATGATTGGCCTTATGCACACATTTCCCCCCTACAGAGTTTTGGCCAATGGTTTTGTTATATTTCATATTTGTGAAAACTAATGTTTGATCTGCATTTTTTTAAAAATGAACCCACAATGCATAAGCCAAATAGGATGCAGAATGCACATAGAATGCATGTTTGAATGCTCCCCACTGAAAACACATTCTTTCCTCTGGTGGCCCAGTTGTCTGCATATTTTCTACATGCCCGGAGTTTTTACATACCAGAATATTCAGACAGTAGCTGGCCCCTCTGAAATGATGTGTGGTGGATTTTCTAAATGAATATAAGCCCTGAAACCACCCAGGAAGGCAATGGAAGAGCTAAATCTTGTATTAATGGTAAAGAATTTATCCATAGGGCCATTTTCTAAGCCACAGCTATGCTCACCCACTTCTCTGAGTAATGAGAAGTTTTGGGATCTGAAAAGAGGTTACTGGAGAGTTAGCAAAGTTTTGAAATATTTCTGTTTATTTCTTTTTATTCTGTTGAATCAAGCTCTCCAGGGAGACAGTCAACATCATAAGATGTTTACAGAACCCAGACTCCAAACTAGATGTCATAGGGAAGTGAATATTCCCTGTGATTAAAAAAAAAAGTTAACAACATTTCCCCTTGAGTAGCAGGCTTTGCTCAGAGATATGCAATCTGCAATCAGACTTCAAAGCAACCTTGTAGTTTCCTTCAAAAGACCAATCAAAACCAAAGTAAGTTGGAAGGCAAGATACAGAGGTGTCTTTCACCACTTGGGGGAGCACCACTTTTATTTACATGCTCAACGCATTTCTCAAAAAAGCTGTCTGTCTGTCTGTCTGTCTGTCTATTTATTTATATTTAAAATATTTGTGCTCCACCTTTCTCCTTAAAAGGACCCAAGGTGGCTCACATCATTAAAAGACAAAGTAAAAGCTAACAACAATTAGTATGCAAATACTAAAAAGTATCAAACAAATACCATACCAAAAACATGAGCAATACATTCAAAACAGTAAGGTACTACAATCCATTTTTTTAAAAAAAACCCATTTGAGCAGCCAATCACTCAGGAAAAGCTTGCCTGAAGAGAAAAGTCTTTGTCTGCTTGCGGAAGGACACCAAAGATTGGGTCAACGTAGCCTCCTATGGGAGGGAGTTCCAACAGGAACAGAGGAGGCCCTCTTCTGTTGATGTTAACACTCAAGCAGGTTCATAAAAGGAGATTGTGGTCTTTGAGCTAGCTTGGGCCCAAGTGACTTAGGGCTTTATAGATTACAACCAACATCTTGAATTCAGCCTGGAACTGGACTGGCAGCCAGTGGAGCTGCTGTAACAAAGGGCTGGTGTGATCCCTGTAACCGGGCCCAGTCAGCAATCTGTGTTTTGGACCTGCTGAAGTTCATTTTATGCATTTATTTAAAATATTTTTACCCTGTCTTTCTCCTTAAAAACAACCCAAGGCAGCTTACATAATTGAAAGAACAATATATTTCTCAAACTGCTAGTCTCTCTTTATTCTCAGACATCAAGAACATGTCCATATTTGGGACAGAAGACTTTCCTTTAGAGAACCTATGAAAAACCGTCTAGGAATTAGTTTCCATTTGGACAGAAACTGTTAACATGCTTCTGACATGTCTGAGGGCCTACCTAGGTATATGGCAAAGAAAAGTTACCCTAATAGCCCAATTCAGAGAAATCTGGCAAAAAACAAAACAAAACAATTCAGTTTTTACTTGCATGCTCCTGTAAGTGACTTCTATGAAAAACACAAGGGTAAAGTGTTCTGTCAGGGCCTGCTCACAAATCAGAAGCCCAGTGGGCCATTTTGAGATTCTCAGCATGCCTACCTATGTCTTACCCATAGACACAGACATAAAGGACTTCATATTTTACAACCTTTGTCATTGAAAGACTTACCAAAATCTACTCCTGTGAATGAAAATGACAATGTGGTGTCATCGTCTGCTTCGCTGAGATCTGGAACACTGATGGCATAAGACTCTGCTGACCTGCATTCATGAAAAGCGGGAGAAAGTAATGGGAGTTACTGGGGTCAAACCACTGAGAACAAGACTAAAATTGGGTCCCTGCTGTACTTGCAGGAGACAGATGAGTTAACCTTTACCTTCACATAGGATGATATTCCAACCTATTCATAAGATGCATTTCATTTTAACTTGAAATTTTGTCCAATGGCCTAATTAAGAGCTAATTCATACTTGAGAGGGAATGAGGGAGATTTGATTTATACAGTTATCATATGTGATTAAATCACCAGAGGTAGAAAGGACAAGTTTCAGACTCTTCTTTCAAAGTGGAAAAGGGAATTTCTTTCCCAATTTATTCTCCCACCTTCAGTCTCTGCAGTCTTCCCATTTAAAGGGGCCACGGTGTTTTTATTTATTTGCTTATATTTTATTTATCAGCTTGCGGGGTGGCTTTCAAATCCAGTATGAACTTTCCAAGACACCTACTGATCCATTCTGTTATCCCCAGGGGGAAAAAAATTAGTTTCCGTGATTTCATGGGGAACTGATTCAGAAAATATCCTTTTTTCTCTCTTTGATACTCTCCTAGGCCTTTGACTCATTTTGCTGTTCAGAGACTCCTTTTCTCTGTAACAGTGCGGTGGAGTAAATAGCTACAGAATGTCAGAAGGACCTGAGGTGAGAAAGAAGAGAAAAATACTGTATGCAATCTGTCAGATGAATATGGTATTTCAATAAAAATCACTTCATTCACATCCTATGATATTGTCGGATCACTTTTTAAAATTAGATTTAAAAAAAAAAAAGTTTTGAAGTGCCCAAATATGCACAATTGTCTGTTTTTAAACCCATTTCTAAATTGTCATTGTACAGGCAATATATCTGGAGATAAATAGTGTGATGGCATAATCCAGTTATGCTGACTGGAAAGCCTTACAATCTTCTACACTGAGGGTGCTGCAATGGAACCTAGATGCCAGCATGACATTGCCAAAAGGCAGCATTAAAAGAGTGGGTTGCTTGTTTGTTTCTTTTTTGGAAGAAGAGAGGGACATTGTCAGCATCTAGAGTTTCCTCAGTTCTCATTTCTCTCCTTAACATTAGTCTCAGCTAGAGCAGGGCCATTGAAATGAATGGGACTTAGTTACAACCGATGTCCAATTGAACTGCATGTGCTAAATCCAACATCGGTTTCACAACTCTATGTAACCCTCACCCGGCGATGCTGGAATCCCAACATGCAGGTAGAAGGAGGACACTTAGCATGGAGGTGTATCACTCTAGCCTTATCCCAGCAGAGCAGAGCACAAAGGAGGTACGCGGCAATGGAAACTATACTGAACAGGCAGGCAGCACAAACAATAGACAAGCTTTGCTCAAGTATCCTACTCATATAGTGAATACTGCATAAGCATATTGCTAACATATTTATTATTATTTCACATGTTCACCTTATTATCTTATGTCATTTCAAGATAGCTCCCTCTCTTCTCCAAACTCCAAACCCCATGTGAGGATGTATCTCAGCCCTTGCAGCAATCTTGTCCAAACTGGTGCCCCCCCACATCTGTTGGACTACAATGTCCCATCATCTCCCACCAGAGTGACCAATAAATTGTAGTCCAACTGAACTGGAGAACAAAGACAACCTACCTAAGATCTCCAGATACAAACACTGTACAGGGATCATCCACCACACTCCATCAACTAAGCCCCACCCCACACAAACATGGATGACATCTGCATCATCTCCAGTCAGGACGGTCCATATGTTGTTGTTGAACCTATATGGAGAGCAAAGAAGCAGAAAAGCAGTAACCAAGATACAGTACATCCAATTGTTAGTAGGACCTTCTATGGGAAGAATGAATGGAACAAGTGAAGGAATGATTGGCAAATAAAGAGTGAGAAGGAATGATGGGTAGAGTCAGATAAAGAGATGAGTACACCACATCAGCTGATGAAGATGGCTGGTTATTAAGGGATGAGATAAAAGGCTGGTAGTCAAGAATTTTGCCAAAGAAAGGAGCCAGTTAAAGTTATTAGTTAGAACCATTATTTATTACTTTGATCTAAATGTTCTGGGTTTTAAGCATCTAGAGTTTGGGTTTATGTACTTCCATTCCAGTCTGGGCAGACTGTAGATGTCGTGTGTTTCACCCCATGTGCCACCCCTGAAGTACACAGACAAGCCTATGCAAGGGAAAGCCTTATTACTATTGGCAAATTAGCAGGTGGTAATGGCAGGTTCTTTTGGGGAGTCTGGGAAGGCCTAGACTCAGAGGCCATCTGAATGACTTGTCCCGTGACCTTTACCAACTAGGACCCCAAAATGTCATATTCCTCGCAGGTCTGTAAACAGTTAGATGGACACTTATGTATCTGTGAAGCAAAAAACCCCATGTGAGGATGTATCTCAGGAAAACTGGGATCAGCCATTCAGTTGTTTATTGGGATTAGAAGGCTGACAAACCAGTAATCTGTCCTGCTTTCAGAGCCAATTTCATCACCAATACTAAGAATATAGGAAGAGCTTTGCTAGATCAGACTAAATTCCTGTCTAGCCCAGCACTCTGTTCCCATGATGACAACTCAGTTGCCTCTGGGAAACTGACCAGCACAAACACACCAGCAACCTTCTGCCCTCAGGTACCAGTGTAGAGAGGCATATTGCCTCTGATCATGGCAATAATATCTAACCACCACGAGTAGTTAAGCAAAGTAAAATGTGCTGCTTATATACCACTTAAAACATTAGGTTACTTACAATTTATTATGCAGACTACACATTAACACCCTCCCCCAGCAAGCTGGGTACTCAATTTACTGAGCTTGGAAGGATGAGAGATGGAGTCAATCTTGAGCCAGCTGCCTGAGCCCATCAGGATTGAACTCAGGTTATAAACAGAGTCTTGAGTGCAATACTGCAGTTTAACTGCTGTGCCGTAAGGTCTAGAAACCAACCAATTCCATAATTGGTGTATGAGATATATTGTACATATGTACATGTCTTATCAGCTGAGATAGGGTGAGGAATACTAAGAAGTGTAAGCTTCCAAAATTGGAATATGTATCAACTTCTATCATCTGCTTGCTTTTCATTATCTTCTGCTCTTACTTGTCTTACTTTGCAATGCTATGCCAGCCAGCATTTTTCATTCCCTCACTTAGCAGCTAAATGGGTGGAAGATACTGCAGTGCCTGTGTTGAAAGTAACACAAGGCTTTCTTATCTGGGCATTCTCTCTGGTGGCTGTGGATCAGGAAAGTATTTCTTACTGTTTAAGTACTGTACATATTTTATATTTGCAAGTATTCTAGCTGCTTGTTTCTAATTGATATTGCTCACCCTGAGCTCTTTGGAAATAGGACAGGTTAAAAATCCAAATAAACGCATAATTAAATCTTAGCCACAGGGGCACATCCTGTTCGGAATCTAGGACACCTCAGTAGAGTTACTATAGCATTATATACAATCAAAGCAATTTACAGTTCAGTCCTTAAAAGGGCCGACTTAGAAATGAGTCCCACCAAGACTTACAAAAGGCTCTTACTGAACACCATGGTGCCTCTACCAATGCCATGTTGCTGTCGTTCTGTCCTACCAAATCAGCTATTGTGACCCTTGCTTACAGGATTTTCAAGGTGTGTGAGATGTTTAATGAGTAATTTAGGGTTGCCATACCCACCCTATGGATTTCCACGCCCTGGCAGAGAATTGAATATAGGTCTAGCCCCGCACTGCATCTAATACATTGCACTGGCTCTCCCATCATTACGGACATAACCATGTTAACATGCATATACTCCCTCTTCATGTGACTCCGTGACATATTTGATCCATATTAATTGAATGAATGCTAACATTTTTGTTTGCAGACCAGTCGTATTGAAGGGCTGCAATGTTTCATCAATGGATCAGTTTGATTGGTTAATAAACCCATTGTCAATTTGTTAGAAGATTGCTCAAATTAATTCAGCCACAAAGCAAAATAAAACAATAAAAGTACTTATAAACACTTCGAACGGTAGTACAATCTTAAAACTGAGGCACTTCCTCTTTTTCCTCATAATTGCTGGGATGCCTCTTTTAAGGATTACATATAAGTATGCATTAAAAACAAGGGATGTGGTGGCGCTGTGAGCTAAACCGCAGAAGCCTGTGCTGCAGGGTCAGAAGACCAAGCAGTTGTAAGATCGAATCCACGCGACGGAATGAGCACCCGTCGCCTGTCCCAGCTCCCGCCAACCTAGCGGTTAGAAAGCATGCAAATGTGAGTAGCTAAATAGGTACCATCTTGGTGGGAAGGTAAACAGCGTTCCGTGTCTAAATCACACTGGCCATGTGACCACGGAAGGATTGTCTTCGGACAAACGCTGGCTCTATGGCTTGAAGAGCGGGATGAGCGCCGCCCCCTAAAGTCGGACACGACTGGACAAAAATTGTCAAGGGGAACCTTTACCTTTACCTTTATGCATTAAAAACAAACGGCCATACACTTTTCATTCGGTGGATGTGACTAGGCTGCACTTTCAGAAGGCAGGCTCAGATGTTATGGAGTCTCAATGCCCCTTCTGGATATCAAGCGTGCGCGTGCACACATGCACACACACACATGCACACACGCATACCACTCTATGTTCCAGTCCTGCCTAGCTCTTCAAGGCAGACAATGTTCAAAGTTTTACACAGAGCAGATTCCACTGTTCATTAGTCAAAAGTAGTGACAGTAGTTGTAGTGGCCAAAAGAAACATCACATTTCCTTCCCTAACACCCCCTCCTCCATTTTTATTTATTGTCTTGCCTCATGGAAAGTTCTTGAAAAGTCAAAAGCTTTGGGTAGTATTTCTGTGAACTTTGAATTGGCCTAAACAACAATTACTAAAAGACTGTCACAGTCTTCGCTGTACTGGAATCACACTTCTGCCTGCCATCACGGTGTGTGTGTGTGTATGTGTCCTAAATGTTTTTCCTGAGGGAAACATGAAATTGGCTTATCTTATCAGTACATATACAATTA